CCTGTGTCACACCCCCTGCCTGTGTCACACCCCCTGTGTCACACCCCCTGCCTGTGTCACACCCCCTGTGTCACACACCCCTGCCCGTGTCACACCCCCTGTGTCACACCCCCTGCCTGTGTCACACCCCCTGCCTGTGTCACACCCCCTGCCTGTGTCACACCCCCTGCCTGTGTCACACCCCCTGCCTGTGTCACACCCCCTGTGTCACACTCCCTGTCTCACACCCCCTGGGGGCTGCTGCGGGGCTGGGGGCTTCTCTGTGCCGCTGCTTGAGCTGCTGCAGGGCCCGGCCCACGGGGCCAGCTGGGGACTGCAGGAGTGGCCGTGTGCAGGAGCAGGCTGCAGGGAGCTCCAGGGAAGGTGGCAGCCCTCAGGGGCTGCTTGGCAAGCAGTCTGCTGTGTGATCTCAGTGCAGACACTGGCCCCTGGCTGCCAGCAGGGACCTCTGGGAGCAGCCTGGGCTAAAGCTCTGCCTACTTCTGACCCAGGAGATGTAACAAAACAAGGTTGTGAACTTCTTTTCTGCACTGATTGGCCTAAATGAACGTGAGGATGTGTTGGATGGAAGGCAGAGCAGGCATTGCACAGGTTACAGAGTTAAACACAAACAAACCCAGTGTGTAAATACTCACCAGCCTGTTCTTTCTCCTCCCTCTCTGCAGGTTGATTTTCCAAGAAATCTGGCCAAGTCCGTAACTGTAGAGTGAAAGATCATCTGAATCATAGGGGCAAAGGGGAATTCAATGAAAGACTTTTTTTGGTACCAAAATAACTCGATTTTAAAGCCCCCTAGGTAAATCTTATTTTGGTAAATCGTTGTTTGTGTACAAGATCACCATAATTCCATTGCATTAGTGATTGTCCAGTTGATTCCACATCAATAGCTCTGGATTTTTTTTTTTCTTTTTGGATCAATAGACTTCCACGAAAGATGTTAAATGGTTTTCCTTAAAGATTGCTGAGTCCTCTAGGTGAGGGGTTACTCTGAGCTGGTGTCATTGTCCCTTCCCTGACTGATGGGAAAGCTCTGAAGGATTCTCAGTGCCCTGTGGTGCTCCCAGGCAGTGGAGCAGGACCCCAGGACACACAACTGGAACAAGAGCTGGCACTGCTCACACCTGGGCAGGAATTCCAGCAGTGAAGGAGGCTGCAGGCAAGCCTTGGGGTGAGCCCCTGCCTCAGGAGCAGGAGGGAATTCAGCTGGCACAGCCTGCTGGGAAGGTGCCAGGGAGGGTGATGCTGCTCCAGAGGGGTTTTATCCATGCCAAATCCAGAGCAAGTGACAATCTCCTAGCCATGGTGGCCACGGGACCCCAGCCTGGCTGGGCTGAGGGCACAGGGGTGGCCAGGGCTGGCTCTGAGCTGCTGCTGCTGCTGCTGCTTGGGGCTGTTCAAACAGGGGGAGCTTTTCCTGTGCTGAGGATTTCCCCTGGAACTGGGGGGCACTGAGAGCACACCTGGCTGTGACACACCTGGCTGTGACACACCTGGCTGTGACACACCTGGCTGTGACACACCTGGCTGTGACACACCTGAGTGACCCAGCTCTGTGCAACACACCTGAAAGGGATAAAAAGGCTCCATAAACACAACAGAAACAACCTTTGAAAATTGCCTTGGTAATAAAGAAATTGCCTAAAGAAATTACCTTGGCCATGTTTCTGTAACAAGCTTGAAGAGAATCAAAAATGAGACAGAAAATACACCTTCAGGACTGAAAACCTGACTTTTTCAGAGTCATCAAAGGGCAGTTATTATGCATTTCCTGATGTGGAAAGGTGAATTTCCTCCCATCTTGCTGGGTTTTGAATTGGCTTTCCACAGGCATTGTCAAACCTGCTGGTGACTATTCCATGTGATTTGCTGCCCCTGAAAAATGGCTTTAGCAGATGGGGAGTGCCCAGTTCCCCTGGCACAGGGGAGTATTCCAAAGACTCTGTGGCAATTCTGCTTGGTGTAAACCCACAGGGACTCCTTCACTTCAGTGCCAGCAAAGGCTCAGACGATGAGAATGAAATGAAATGAAATGCTGTGTGCCTGGAAAAGCTTCTCCAAGCAGTGCATGTGTTTATGAACCTGTCACACCTGTTGGTTTGTGAACACGCCGTGCTGCTGGTGTCTGTTCAGGAGCAAAGTGGTAAATTCTGCATTTTAGTTCAGCACAAGCTGTGTGAGGCACTGCCCTGGCCTGAACATCACCTGTAGCCCTCCCTGCTTCCCTGGAGGAGGAGAATTGAGGGAAAAACAAGGATTTTGCAGTGCTCACAGGTGGGAGAGAGGTACTCTTCCTCCTCCTCCTCCTCCTCAGCTTGCTTCAGAGCCCCTGCAGGGCTGGCCCAGGGATGTGCAGTGCCCCATCCTCTGCTCTCAGAACAGCATCTGTTAATTAACAGAGTTAATGATCCCCACCAGGGGATGCTTCAAGGCCCTTTTCCTCCCCCTGCAGCCAGCTCTGCTTTTCTGCTGCCTGGCACAGAGCAGGCTCAGCAGAAGTGTGCCAGTGCAGGCTGTCACAGCCTGCTGCAAACAGGACCAAAGAGCTGAGCTGGGAGTGCCAGGGAGGTGGTGCTGAGCTCCCTGGGTGTGCCACAGCAGCCCCTGTCCCCTGCAGCTGGTGGCACTGATGGCTCAGGGCACGGGCAGTGTCCCCTCCTCCTGCCTGGGCTCAAACCCAAAGGCAGGGATGCTGTGGGCTCAGCCCCCAGGGATGCTCTGGAGCTCACCTGGAGGAGGAATTTCCCTGCTGGCCGTGGCAGGGAGCTCCTTAGCATCTCCTCGTGGTTGTTGTTGCCATGCAGTGTGAAGTGGGGATGCACCAAGGACTCTTGCTGGCTTTCCTTACCTCGTTCTGTCCCCGTGTTGCATTTCTGAACAGATGATGTTTCCCTTAGAAAGCTTTTAGGGTGTCTCGTGGTATTTATTGACAGCCAGTCAGTCTTCTGCTCTCCCAAATGAATGTTTTGCTTACTGAGCCAGTGAAATTCTCTCCTTCCTCACTGAGGTGTTGGAAAAATTCAGTAGCTCTGTCTCTAAAATTGAGCCACAGGTAAATACAGATGAGACCTTTGCCACCTGGACTAGCAGCTCCTCCCGTGGCCACAGTTTATTTCGGTGTAAGTAGCTCTGCCCCTCACCTGCAGAGGCTCAGAGGGAAGCCCTGAGGTCCTGGGGGGGTTTTAATTCCCAAAAAAAAAAAAAGCAGAGAGCTCCCAGCTCAGCACACCTTTCTGCCCTGCAGCTCTCACCCAGATCCCACACTCGTGCAAATTGAGCAGCACGTGGAATTTGCTGCAGCCAGGAAGGCTTTTTATCCCCCTGGCTGTGCTGCAGAAAGGCAGTTTTTTACCCAGATTTCTCACAGTCAGCACTCTGTGCAGAGCCCATCAGTGCCTGTCCCTGGGCAGGGCCATCTCCTGGGACCCAAAAAACACCACCCAGAGCCTTTCCCAGCCCCCTGGCATGAGCAGAACCCTCAGCCCGAGCCTTAAGCCCATCCCAAAGCCTCTGAAGGCACAAACCACACACAGCAGTGCAGAGCTGGGCCTGTCCCCTCCCTGGCTGTCCCCAGCAGTCCCTGGTGCCACAAGCTTGGCCCTGGTGCATGGAGGGAGCTCCCAGCTCAGCACACCTTTCTGCCCTGCAGCTCTAACCCAGATCCCACACTCGTGCAAATTGAGCAGCACGTGGAATTTGCTGCAGCCAGGAAGGCTTTTTATCCCCCTGGCTGTGCTGCAGAAGGGCTGTGGGCAGTTTTGTACCCAGATTTCTCAGTCAGCACTCTGTGCAGAGCCAATCAGTGCCTGTCCCTGGGCAGGGCCATCTCCTGGGACCCAAAAAACACCACCCAGAGCCTTTCCCAGCCCCCTGGCATGAGCAGAACCCTCAGCCCGAGCCTTAAGCCCATCCCAAAGCCTCTGAAGGCACAAACCACACACAGCAGTGCAGAGCTGGGCCTGTCCCCTCCCTGGCTGTCCCCAGCAGTCCCTGGTGCCACAAGCTTGGTGGCCCTGGTGCATGGAGGGAGGGAGGGAGGGGCTGAAATTAAGTAGATTAAGTCAGTGTTTAGCTGTGGCTAATTTTAGATCCTACCTGAATGTACCAAACTTGCCTCAAAGCATGGAGTCCCTCCTCTTCTCCAGGACAGGAAGAAGAAGAAACAAAAATATTTGGGTTGGCAAAAAAAAAAAAAAAAAAAAAAAAAAAAAAAAAAAAAAAAAAAAATTTTTTTCCTTTATTTTTTTGCTGTTCAGTCCCACCCCCCAGCATGTCAGTTCTCTGGACACCTCATCTAACCCACAAGTTTAAAAGCGCTGTGACAAATCAAAGGATTCAACTGAAACCAAACACCCACTCTCTGACAGCCACACAAAAGCAGGAGGTCAAAGATCTGGAAAGGCTGACCATGGGCCTTTACCATACACCCAGGACCCTGGGATAGGGACATTCACCCATCCCTACAGCTTCTTCCTCTACACAACTGGATTAAAGTGACATTGCAGTTACTGATAGTGGCACTGACCAAGAAACAGCAAAATAATATAAGAGCTTCCAAGGAGAATGTGCACTAACACTGGTCATGCTCCTGCCAAATACTGACATTAAATAGTCACCAAAAAGACTCTGGAACTGCAGGCTGGAAGACTAAGTCCCTGTCCCACAGCTCTTCTGAGCCAGGCCAGCCCAAGGCAGCCAGAAGCAGCACAGGAAATCAGCAAACTCGGGGTGATGGAGCAAAGCCGAAGCCATGAGGCTAAGCGGGGCTACAGTTCAGTGACTGCTACACAAGGGGAAACCAAGAAGCTCATGAACAGTGGTGTTTCTGCAAGTCATGGATTCACTCTGAATCCAGAAGCAATGATCGATTTCAGTCCCTGGAGGAATTCACACTCAGGCCTGAACTTTCCTTGCTGGAGTAATACAAGCACTGCTGCATTTTTACCTTAGGACAGTCTTTTCTTGGCTATGCAAGACTGTTGTTAGGTGCCATTTGGTCCTGTAGTGTGTGTATCTGTCAAAATTGCCCCAAGAAAGGATGAACTAGAGGTTTTAAAAAAAAATTTTTTTAAAAAAAAAAAAAAAATTGGGGGAAAAAAAAAAAAAAAAAAAAAAAAAAAAAAAAAAAAAAAAAAGGAAAGAAAACTTCTTTGCCTTCAATTCAGTTTCTGTAAATAGAGATTTGAGTGGCAAACCCACATTTCCTCTGTGTAGATGCTGTGTGCTGTACATTTCCAGCTGGCTGGGCTTGTGGGGACCAGGCTGTACTGTGTTTGTTGTGTGCTGTAGCAGGAGATGTCTTCTTTCTGTCTGTAGTGTTTATCATTTGGGTTTTGTCTCTTTGCTTACCTTTTTTTGTATCTCACCCTTTGAATAAAATCAAGTGCCCTACATTAACCAAATGGAATTCCTGGTCTTTAGTTAAATCCACTGAGGACAGGTGGGGAAGTTAAGGGCTGGGTGGGCAAAGCAGAAAACTTCAGGGGTTAACTCTCCCCTCTCCTGCCCCGTGAGGCTCTTCTGGGTCAGAGATTCTGCATTTCATCTCTCATATTTCACCTGCCCTGTCCTAACTGGGCTTTTTCCCACTTTACAAGAAAGCCTGTGAGATCCCCCTAAGGCAGAGCTGTTCGTGTACCCTAATTATTGTTTACTGAGTTATTATTTAATGATCTCTGAGACAGCACAGTGAGTGTCACCCACGTTCCCCAGCTCCTGGAGGGCCCTGGGTGGGTGAGGCTGGGCTGGGACCCCGAGGCTCAGGTCAGAGCAGGGGGCTCAGGGCTGAAACACACCTGGCTGCTTTGTCAGGGAATAAAACCCTGCAATTTCCACCCCTGGAATTCCACCCCTGGATTTCCACCCCTGGATTTCCACCCCTGGATTTCCACCCCTGGAATTCCACCCCTGGATTTCCACCCCTGGATTTCCACCCCTGGAATTCCACCCCTGGATTTCCACCCCTGGATTTCCACCCCAGGAATTTCACCCCTGAATTTCCATCCCCTGGAATTTTCCCTCTGGCTTTCCACCCCTTCTTCCTCGCGATTTGCCCCCCGGGAATTCCACCCCTGGATTTCTACCCCTGGAATAAAACCCTTGGATTTCCACCCCTGGAATTCCACCCCTGGATTTCCACCCCTGGATTTCCACCCCTGGATTTCCACCCCAGGAATTTCACCCCTGAATTTCCACCCCCTGGAATTTTCCCTCTGGCTTTCCACCCCTTCTTCCTCGCGGGTTAATTTCCTCGGGGATCTCCAGGGGAGCAGCCCCAGCTCCAGTTTATTCCCGGAGAAGGAGCAGCTGTTGTTTTTGGGGCCCCCTGTCCCTCTTGCAGGTGGAGCTGCTGTTGTTCCCTCTTGCAGGTGGATCGCATCGCTGCCTCCAGAGACTGAGCCCGGCCCTGCCCCGGAGCTGCTGGAGGAGGGAGCGGAGCCAGCGGTGAGCGGGGCAGCCCCTCGTGCCCGGGGACACCGGCCGGGGGGGACAATGGCCAGGGGGTGACACCATCCCCAGAGTGACACCATCCCCGGGGTGACAATGGCCAGGGGTGACCCCATCCCCAGGGTGACAATGGCCAGGGGTGACAATGGCCAGGGGTGACACCATCCCCAGGGTGACAATGGCCGGGGGTGACAATGGCCAGGGGTGACACCATCCCCAGGGTGACAATGGCCGGGGGTGACAATGGCCAGGGGTGACACCATCCCCAGGGTGACACCATCCTCAGAGTGACACCAGCCTAGGGGTGGCACCGGCCAGGGGGTGACACCATCTCCAGGTGACACCAGCCAGGGGTGACAATGGCCAGGAGGTGACAATGGCCAGGGGGTGACACAATCCCCGGGGTGACACCAGCCAGGGGGTGGCACTGGCCAGGGGGTGGCACTGGCACTGGGGTGACACCAGCCCTGATGTGACACCAGCCCCAGGGTGACACCAGCCCTGTAGTGGCACCGTCCCAGGGGTGACATTGGCACTGAGGTGATGCCACCCCAAGGGTGGCACTATCCTAAGGGTGACACCATCCCCAGGGTGACACCATCCCAGGGGTGACACTGGCCCTGTAGTGACACCATCCCAGTGGTGACATTGGCACTGAGGTGACACCACCCCAGTGGTGACATTGGCACTGAGGTGACGCCATCCCAGGGGTGACACCAGCCCAGGCACCCCTGAGCCCCCATTCTCTGCTCCCCAACCCCCCAAATGTGAGTGTTGAGCACTGAACAAAGCCCAGAGCCACCCTGGGGAGGTGACACAGATAGGGGGGGTGACACAAAGGGGGGGGTGACACAAATGGGGAGGTGACACCCCCAGAGGTCACTGCTCCCTTTCTGTGTTTGCCCTGGAGTTCTCCTCTCCTCTGACTCAGATTTGGGCCTTTCTCTGCCAAATTTGGGGAGAAAAAAAGCAATTTCTTTCCCTGGCAGAAGCTTGGTTATTCCTGGTGGTGGCTGTGCCCTGTTAAAGGTTTTTAACAGTTTGTGTGAAATCCATTCTGGGAGGAATGGACACTTCAGGCTCTGTCAGACCCCAAAAAATCAGCTTTTGTGGCAGGAGTGCTCTGGGTTTTGGGAGGAAAACTACCAAGTCTGAGTCCCCAGCACAATGAAAAACCAGCCTGTGAAAATCAGTGAAGATCTGTGAAGATCTGTGAAAATCAGTGAAAATTCAGTGAAAATCAGAGAAAATCTGTGAAAATCAGTGAAAATCAGAGAAAATCAGTGAAAATTCAGTGAAAATCAGAGAAAATCTGTGAAAATCAGTGAAAATCAGAGAAAATCAGTGAAAATTCAGTGAAAATCAGAGAAAATCTGTGAAAATCAGTGAAAATCAGAGAAAATCAGTGAAAATTCAGTGAAAATCAGAGAAAATCTGTGAAAATCAGTGAAAATCCAGTGCCCAGGGTTGGCCCCAGCTCAGCAAGGAAAGCTCAGAGCCCACGGGAGCTTTGTGTAGTTCTTTAATAATAACATCAAGGCCAGCAATCAAGAGTAATGACTGGATTTACCAAAGGACACATTTAACATGCAACACACAGAGGGGTGAAACGTCCCCGCGCAGCACTGAGCTGACAACACCGACACCAAACCAGCCCCCCTGCCCCTCAAACCTTCCCAAAATCGCCCCCAAAACCTGCCAGAGCCCCCAAAAGCAGCAGGCACAGGAGGTGCCTCCGCACCCCAGGCGGCAGAGAGAGCACCCAGGTGGCCACAGAGCTGGTGTGGGCATGGAAAATAAAATAAAATAAAGCAAAAAAAGGAAGCAGAAGCTGAAGCTCAGGCCCTTGGAGGCTGCCAGGTCCTGGCAGGGCTGGGAGGGAAGGGGAGAAAAGGCATTTTTGGGGGGGACATTTCACCCAGGGCTGGGCAGGGGGAGGTCACACAGGGTACAGAGGGCACCCCAGGGGTGCTCCAGCTCTTCGACCTCATTTACATGGCATTAATTCATTAATTGGCTGGGGCAGCTGCCTGGGAGCCAGGAGCAAGCAAGGTTTCACTGCCAGCCTTCCAGGGAGCCCCGAAATTCATCTTTGGGCTCCAGCACGGAGGGAGTGGGGCTCTGAAAGGCACCTGAGGGATTTTGGGAGCCAGATTTAGGCTGGTCCTAAATCACAGAGCCCCAGAATGGCTTGGCTTGGCTTGGGTTGGGTTGGGTTGGGTTGGGTTGGGAGGGGGCTTAAATCCCAGCCAGTGCCATGCCAGGGACACTTGTCACTGTCCCAGGGGTGCAGCTGCTCTGGGAATTCCATCCCAGCCCCTCTCACCCTCACAGGGGAGAATTCCTCCCTAAATTCAAACCAGGGATAAAATTCACCCCCAGACAGGCTCTGCTTTTTTTTTGGGAACATCACCAAAGACCATCCTGGGCAGAATTGTGGGGTTTTTTTTCAGCCTGATCCCAGCCAAAATGGGCTGGAGCTGCCCCAGTTAATGCCATGTAAAACAGGTGCTCGTCACTACAGGAAATATTTGTACATTTATAAAATAAAAAAAAAAAAATTAAAATAAAGAAAAAAGCAATACAACCATAAAGAAAAAAAAAAATACAACAAGCACAGCTTGATACGATAACATGCCATGAAATGTCATTGGCTTTATAATAATTTACTACAACTTGAAAAATGTTCTTTTATCCACAAGGGATAGGAAATGCTTCCATCTAACATATGGTAAGCATGCAGCAACAATATGTACAACAAAAAATTTGGAGCTTGTTTTTATTTTTAAGCTGGATGATTACAAAGGGAGCATTTGAAAATTCTGATTTTTTTTTTTTCCCCTAGCCTGATCTAGGCTTTATTTTGCTTCTTTAAATCTGCAGGTTTGGGGTTTTTTTTCCTTAGTTTGGGGAGAATGAGAATTTCTGTGTACATCTGCAAAAACGTCGTGGACGATACACTGCTTTTATTTTTTCCCCCAGCAGGTTTATTGCTAATTAGCCAATTAACCAACTTCTTGGCTAACTGACACCTGAAAAAATAAAATTCTCAATGCTGTCTTGTGGAAAATCCATTTCCTCCCCAAAGGTTTCTGAGGATCTGCTGGGGCGTGGATCCCGTGTTACACCGTGCCAGGTCCCACACCTTCCGTGGAAACAAACCACAGCACAGAAAACCAGACCAAAGCAGACCAAAGCAGACCAAAGCAGACCAAAGCAAACCAATCCTAACCAAACCAAACCAAATCAAACCAAACCACACCAAACCAAACCACACCAAACCAGACCAAACTCAACCAAACCAGACCAAACCCAACCAAATCAGAAAAAATCAAACCAAAGCAAACCAAACCCAACTCAACCAAAGCAAACCAGACCAAATCACACCAAACCAAACTAAATGAAATCACACCAAACCAAACCAAACCAAACCAGACCCAACCAAACCAAACCAAATCACACCAAACCAAACTGAACCAACCAAACCAGACCATACCAGACCCAACCAGACCAAACCAAACCAAACCAAACCAAACCAAACCAAGCAAACCAAACCCAACAAAACCAAACCAGACCAGACCAAACCAGACCAAACTAAACCCAACCAAACCAACCAGACCAAACCAGACCAACCAAAGCAAAGCAAAGCAAAGCAAACCAAACCAAACTCAACCAAACCAAACCAAACCAAACCAAGACCAACCAAACCAAACCAAACCAAACCAAACCAAACCAAACTCAACCAAACCAAACCAAGACCAACCAAACCAAACCAAACCAAACCAAACCAAACCAAACCAAACTCAACCAAACCAAACCAAACTCAACCAAACCAAACCAAACCAAACCAGACCCAACCAAACAAAGCCAACCAAGCCAAGCCAAGCCACAGCCAGGAGCTCTGTGCCTGACCAGATCCCGTCCATCCACGAGGGAGCCCAGCCCAGCTCCAGGGGGGTTCCAGCTGCCCCTGCCCCCGTGGGAGCAGCTGGGGTGGGGGGCAGCAGGGGGTGCTGGGGTCAGGGGCTGCTCCGTGCTGCCTGCAGACAGAACAGGGGACAAGGGGACAAAGGGACAAGGGGACAAAGGGACAAGGGGAGCTGCAGACAGAACGGGGGGATCAGCCCAGCCCCAGCTCCTCAGGACCTCAGGGTTTATCCCACCAGGGCAGAGGCAGGAGGGACCCAGAGCCTCTGCCTGGGGTCCCCTGCTCTCCTCGCCCAAAGGGGCCAGGGCAGGTCTCCTGTGAGTCTCTTTCCTCCATTCCCTTTCCTCCTTGAGATTTTTTTTCCTTTTTTTCCCCCCCCTTTGTTTTGCTAGAAAAGCTAGAACCGATATTTCCAAAAGCAGCACTCAGCAAAGCATTTCTGTATCTGGTAAAAAAGAACAAAAACTCCACAATGAGATGAGAACCCTTTGCTGCTGACAGAAGTGCAGCTACAGAGGTGGATTTCTCTCCTGGGAGATTCCCAGAGAGTTTTGTGAGAACTGGAGGGGCTTTGGGGGATGTCCCTGGCTCTGGCCCCGGGCTGCAGGAGGCAGGGGATGCTCTGGGGGGTGCTGGGGATCCCCTGAAGGTGAGGAGGAAGCAGGAGAAATGCAGCCAGTGCATTTCTTGGCAGCCTGGTTCCCACCTGGCCTGGCCCAGGGGGGTTTGCCTTGGTCCATGCTGCTGACAGGAGGGAGGGATGCTGCTGAGAGCTGGCACGGGTCAGTGAGCACTCTGGCTCTTCACTCAGAGCTGGGGAGGCAGCTGCTACTTGGTTAGGAAAGGAAAACAAAACAAAAAAAAAATCCAAAAAACCCCCAAAACCCCAAAACAAAACAACCCCCCAAAAACCCAAAACAAAACAAACCAAACCCCAAAAAACCAAAACAAAACCAACCAAAAAAATCCCCCCAAAAAATCCACCTGGAAGCATTTTTAAGGCGAAAGAATTCAATTTACAGACAGGCAGGGAGGCATCAGTGGCAACCTTTCCAAGCTGACAGCAACAAGGAGCCCGAGCAGGGTGGATTTGGGGACCCCAGACCCCCAAACCCCTCTGGTTTGCACTCGGAGCCTTTCCCTCCGGGCTGGGGAGCAGCACGGACAGACGGACAGACGGACAGAGCTGCCCGGCACAGCCCCCCCTGCTGCCCACGGCTGTGCCACCCTCGGCGCTTCGGGGCTCCTGGTGCCCCCCGGGCTGACCCCGGGATGGGTTTTGGGGTGTCCCCGCTCTCCGAGTTCCTGATCGCACCCAGCGCCCCCCTCCTCCCTGGGAGGGAAGGGGGCCTGGCACCCCCTGTGCCCCCCGAGGGGCTCCTGTGCCACTGCCCCGGCAGCGGGGCTGTGCCTGGCCCAGGTGCAGGTGAGCCAGGTGTGCCAGGTGAGCCAGGTGTGTCCAGGGGTGTGTCCAGGTGTGTGTCCAGGTGAGCCAGGTGATACAGGTGAGACAGGTGTGTCCAGGTGAGTTTTGTGTGTCCAGGTGTGCCAGGTGAGCTTGGTGTGCCAGGGGTACACACAGGTGTGTCCAGATGTCCAGATGTGCCAGGTGAGCCAGATGTCCAGGTGTGCCCAGGTGTGCCCGGTGCCTGGCTGGGGTTCTGCACTCCTGACCGTCCACCTGGCCAGCCCCAGGTGTGGCCAGGAGTGTCCAGGTGAGCCAGGTGCCCAGATATTCTCAGGTGAACCAGGAGTTCAGATGTTCCCAGGTGAGCCAGGTGCCCAGGCGTGGCCAGGAGTGTTCAGGTGTGCCAGCTGTCCAGATGTTCCCAGGTGTGCCAGGTGCTCAGATGTTCCCAGATGTTCCCAGGTGTGCCAGGCAGCTGGCCGGGGTCCCGCACTGCTGGCAGCCCTGCCGTGCCGTGCCGTGCCGTGCCGTGCCGTGCCGTGCCCGGGGCTCTCCCTGGCACGGAGCCCGCTGTGCCACCCGTGCCCTTCCTGCAGAGCGTCCCCGCGGTGGCACAGGGCACACACAGCTGGCACACAGCTGGCACACAGCTGGCACACAGCTGGCACACCCTCAGCCGGAGCTCCCCGCGGCTCCCAGAGTTCGTGGCACTGATGCTCGGGGGGGGGGACGAGAGAGGGGAGAAGGTTCCAGAAGGGGCCGGAGGGGGGGTGTAGATGGGCGCCGGGGGCGGGGCCGAGGGGTAGGAGTTGTTCAGGGGGTATTTGGGGGGGGTCTCCGCGTTCTTCACCCGCGTGAAGTTGATGCAGCGGCCCTGGAACGGAGCAGGAGGGGGAGAGAGGTCACCGGGACAGGAATTCTCAACCACGGCATGGCAGAGACCCAGAGACCACCCTGACCCCCACCACGGCATGGCAGAGACACAGAGACCACCCTGACCCCCACCACAGCATGGCAGAGACCCAGAGACCCCCCTGTCCCATCCCTGTCCCATCCCTGACCCCCACCACAGCACAGCTGAGACTTCATAGAGCACCCTGTCCCATTCCTGTCCCCCACCATGGCATGGGATGGACCCACAGACCACCCTGTCCTTCTCCTGACCACTACTATGGGATGGCTGGGACCTCTCAGACCACCCTGACCCATCCCTGACCCATCCCTGTCCCATCCCTGACCCCCACCACGGCATGGCAGAGACCCAGAGACCACCCTGACCCATCCCTGTCCCATCCCTGTCCCATCCCCGACCCCCACCACGGCATGGGATGGACTCTCAGACCATCCTGTCTCCCACCATGGCACAGCTGAGACTTCACAGGCCACCCTGTCCCACCCCTGACCACCACCATGGCACAGCTGGGACCTCTCAGATGTCCCCATCCAGCCATAACCACCACCATGGCATGGGATGGACCTCTCAGATCTTCCCATCCCATCCCTGTCCCTCACCATGGCATGGGATGGACCCACCAGACCATCCTGACCCACCCTGGCCACCACCACGGCATGGCTGGGACCTCTCAGACCACCCTGACCCATCCCTGACCCATCCCTGTCCCATCCCTGTCCCATCCCCGACCCCCACCACGGCATGGGATGGACTCTCAGACCATCCTGTCTCCCACCATGGCACAGCTGAGACTTCACAGACCACCCCGTCCCACCCCTGACCACCACCATGGCACAGCTGGGACCTCTCAGATGTCCCCATCCAGCCATAACCACCACCATGGCATGGGATGGACCTCTCAGATCTTCCCATCCCATCCCTGTCCCTCACCATGGCATGGGATGGACCCACCAGACCATCCTGACCCACCCTGGCCACCACCACGGCATGGCTGGGACCTCTCAGACCACCCTGTCCCACCCCTGTCCCCCACCATGGCATGGCAGGGACCTCACAGACCACCCTGTCCCACCCCTGACCACTGCTATGGCACAGATGGGACCTACCAGACCACCCTGTCCCACCCCTGCCCCCCACCATGGCATGGCAGGGACCTCACAGACCACCCTGTCCCATCCCTGTCCCTCACCATGGCATGGGATGGACCTACCAGACCATCCTGACCCACCCTGTCCCCCACCATGGCATGGCAGGGACCTCACAGACCACCCTGTCCCACCCCTGACCACTGCTATGGCACAGATGGGACCTACCAGACCACCCTGTCCCACCCCTGTCCCCCACCATGTCCCAGCTGGGACCTCTCCTCCCACCCATTTCCCAGGCTCAAGGGAAGATTTCTCTAACTGAGGCATTTTCCTGCTCAGAACTTTTCCTGAAGTGCATCCATTCCTCACCAGGACGTCTCCACATCCCAGTGCTCCCGAGGAGCCAATAAACTTTTTGCTTTTCTTGCTCTTTGGTGCTAAGCTACAGTTTGTTGTACAGTTTTAAACAAAACCTTTGCCCTCTGAGCTATTATTTTCTTTCTTTTTAAAATTTTTTTTCTCACAAGTTCCACCTGCAAAAGATCCCACTGTAAATACTCAAATGTCAGAATCAGCATTACTGTATTATGGATTCATTCCTTCAGATATGAAATCATCCCAAAAGGCACCAGAGGACTTCTGGACCCATTCTTTATTTTTGGACTGGGTGAGCATGAGCTTATTTTCTGTTTTACTCTTTCCTCTCCCAAAGCAAATGTTTTTTTCCTGGTGAAAAAAAAAAAGCCAAATGGAGCATGGAGCCCCTGGGGGCTGCAGCAGATTTGTTGGGGGTTCTGGCAGGGTTTTAACCCCCTGCACAGCTCTGCAGCTGTCCCCAGGCAGGGATGGCAGGAGCTGCTCTGGAAGGGACACAGAGGTGTCCAGAGCTCCTCCCCAGAGCTCTGCCAGCTGTGCATGGGGAGGAACATCTGCCTGAAAGGGAAAAGGGCTCCTGGCCCAGCTGAGCTCAGCCTGGCTGGGACAGGAAAGCTCCTCTGGGGAAAACAAAATCAGACATTTCACAGGGCCTCGAGATGCACCCAGCTCAGGGTGAGCCAAACGGAGGGGCTGGGTTGGGGAGCACCCAAATCTGGGGGTCTACAGCCCAACAGGAGGGGCTGGGTTTGGGAGCACCCAAATCTGGGGGTCTACAGCCCAACAGGAGGGGCTGGGTTCAGTCTCACCCAAATCTGGGGGTCTACAGCCCAACAGGAGGGGTTTGGTCTCTCACCCAAATCTGGGGTTCTACAGGCAGAGGAGTGCCAGGCTGGAACTTCTCACCTGGGGCTGGATCCCAAAAAAACCCTCAGCCAGGCTGGAACCCCTGGGGCTGGATCCCAAAACCTCAGCCAGGCTGGATCCCAAAAAAGCCTCAGCCAAGCTGGAACCTCACGCAGCTTTTGGGGAGGAATAATTCCCACAGAGTTTGTCAGGGATAATTCCCACGAAGTTTGGTGAGGAATAACTCCCACAGCTTTTGGTAGGGAGTAATTCCTACAGCCTTTGGGGAGGAATAATTCCCACAAAGTTTGGTCAGGAATAATTCCCACAGATTTTGGGGAGAAATAATTCCCACATCTTTTGGGGAGGAATAATTCCCACAGAGTTTGTCAGGAATAATTCCTACAAAGTTTGGTCAGGAATAATTCCCACAGCTTTTGGTCAGGAATAATCCCTACAAAGTTTGGTCAGGAATAATTCCCACATCTTTTGGTCAGGAATAATCCCTACAAAGTTTGGTCAGGAATAACTCCCACATCTTTTGGTGAGGAACAATTCCCACATCTTTTGGGGAGGAATAATTCCCATCCCCACAGTCCCTGGGGCTGGGTTTGCCTCAGCTTCTGACGTCAATATTAAAGGCACAGCTTTCAGCCCTGTCTGGGACAAATGCTGCCCTGGGCCAGGTGTGGCTGGAGCCTTGAGGAGCTGCTCCATCCCCTGCAGGAGCAGATCCCAGGCTGCTGGCTTGGGAGCTGCCAGTTCCAGGAAAAAGAGCTCGTGTTTAGGTTAACTTTTCCACGGCTGTGAACGGAAAAGCAACGGCAGCAGAAAGTGTGGAAAGGCTGGGGGTTGCTCTCAGGCTCTGTCAGGAGCAGGCTGGGCTGCAGGGATGGGTCACACAGCAGCTCCTTGGCACTGCTGGGACCCTCTGGGTCTGCAGGGACACCTTGGGCTGAGCTGGTTCTGCTCTCAGGTCTGAAAAGGGGATTTGAAACTCCAGCTCCTGGTTTCTGCTTGTTCCTCCACCACTGAAATCACACGATTGCCTGATATCTGAATTTCCTGGAATTTCTGAACCAGGCTCTGGATTCCCATCTAGGCAGCAGCCAGGGATTTCCCAGGCTGAGAGGGAAACTTTGCAGGGGTGGCTTTGTGATGTTCCTCATCAATACATCAGCACTACCTGGCCTTCCCCACCTTCCTGAGAGGGACCTGAGCAGACACAGGGAGCAGGAGAGCTGAAATCTTCCACCCAATTCCTCCCCTGGGGCTGGGCACGTCTGTCCTGGCAGCCCCAGGAACCCCAGGGACCCCTGGGAGCTGCAGCAGATAAAACAGCTCACAGCAGCAAAACCCAGCTCAGGGCTTGAGGTGGAACCCGTGCTTCATTCTGTGCAAGGAATCTCCTGAGCAGCCCAGCTCGTGTGCTGGAGGGGATAAAGTCCCTGATTTCAGCAAGGGATTGCTTCTACATGGGAATGATGTAAGCCTGGGACTCAGCCCAGCTCCATCCCAGGCTCCAAAGCAAACAGAAATGCCTTTCAGTTATTTTTCATCTGGCTTCACTATTTTATCTCCATCAGGGGGTGAATTAAGGAGCCCATTCGACAGCACTGAGTCTGAAATCTGCTTCCCTTCCTCGGGAAAGAGAGGGAAAAGAAGGAGGCACAGACTGCTGTCAAACAGCTCCTGTGCTCAGAGGCTCCTGCTGCAAACCCCAAGCTCCTCTTTACTACCCACACGTGCTGCCTGCAGGGCTTTGGGCATTTATCCAGCCTGAGAAGGTTCCACCAGGATCTGGGGGCTCCTTCTGGGGCTGCTGGTTCCTCTCGGGTGCTCTGGTACTCCCTTGTTCCTGTGGGATGCTCTGCCAACCCCTGGTTCCTCTGGGGTGCTCTGGTACTCCCTTGTTCCTGTGGGATGCTCTGCCAACCCCTGGTTCCTCTGGGGTGCCCTGCTAATCCCTGGTTCCTCTGGGTGCCCTGCTAATCCCTGGTTCCTCTGGGTGCCCCTGCCAACCCTGGTTCTCTCATTCCCAGGGCATACCCCCAGCTTGTCCAGGGCTGGCACTGGGCACCTGCTGGAAAACTGGAGGTGTTCACTCAGAAATCCACCCTGGAACAGAGCTGAGCAGCCTGGAGCTGCTCTGGGACACAAAGCAGAGCCCAGCCCTCCGGGGGTGAGGGTGGTGGGTGACCCGGTCCCCTGCAGCACTGGGGTGAAGTTGGGTGATTTAACAAAGGAAAATCCCAGAATCCCAAATATCCTGGTAGCCAGCCTGCCCCTCCCCTGCCGCAGCTCCAGCCCTTGCCTCAGGTGCTGCTAAAACACGCAGGAATGTCCCTAACTGTGCCACACCCCCCGGAGGGGACAGAGGGGACAGAGGGGACAGAATCTGCCCCTGAGCACAGAGGGCTGTGCTGCAAGGCTCGGTACCTTGTCTCCGGGCTGGGGACGCATCACGGACACGCGGTCGTAGCCCTTCCTCAGCAGGACCCAGAGGGCATCCAGCTTCCCCTGCAAGGACAAAACATTGGGGGGTTTGGATCCCCTGGGCCAGGAGCAGCACCCAGACCCCCAGGCTGGGCCCAGGACAGGCTGGGGGACAAGGCTCTCTCTCACAGACACCGCTGGGGTTCTGGCTCAACAGTCAAGATTATTGATTTGATCCAACCCTCTTCATCTGAGCCTTGGTCTGTGAAGAAATCAGTACCCTGAGATTTGTAGGGATTTCTGGGATTTCTGCAGATACAGAATTCCTGCCTGTTGTATTGTCTGCAACAGGCAGTATTTATTAATGTTCCCATGATTATTTTCCCAGTGCTCTGAGTGCTGGGATATTGGAGCAGAACCACGAGCACAACCTCTGCCAGCAAAATTCACTGCACCTGCAGAGATAAGGCACTCTGAGAATGCACAGAGTTACCCCTTGGTGCACACCTGTTTTCTGCAGGTGAGAGCATCAAACCTGAGCTCCTGGCTGGATCCAGGAGCTCCTGGATTCCCCATCTCCACTCCTCCCTGGAAACGAGGACTGCAAAACTCTGCTGAGGGCAGGAATGTCTGGTGGAAGTGTTCTGGGACACTTAATGGTGGAAATTAAGGATTAATGGGTGGAAATGTGAGCTGGGCAGCTGGTTCTCCTGCTCGGGGTGTGGGAACCCCGATGTGTGAGGCCAGAGCTGACACTGGGGGTGTTTGGGAGCTCTGTGTGACCCCAGGTGTCGAACCAAGACTCCTTTTGTGGGGCAGAGCCCTCCTCTTCCCTTCCCAGGGACCCAGCAGGGCCACAGTCCCCTCGGGGATCTCGATCCTGCTGCTCAGCCAAAGGTGCAGAGCTGGCCTGGGGCTCGCAGGGACACGCGGCTGGAGGCAGACACGTGGAATGGAACTCCTGTGCAGAGGATGTGGGGGAAAGGCTTCCCAAGGTGAGAGCCAGGAAAGTCTGGGATTCTCAGAGGAAGGAGCAAGAAACTCCTCTGTCAGATCCTTCTGCATTTGGACACAGAACTCCTCGGAGCTGAGGGAAACCTCCCTCCTGCTCCAATCCATCTTTCCTCTGCAGCAGAGCTGCTTGAAGCTCTTGATCTCCTGTCCACCCTGACAGCTTTAGAAATAAGCACCTTTTTCTTCCATTTCTCCTTTAGGAAAGCAGAGGCAAAGCGACAACTTTCCATGGAACAAATTTAAAAAAAAAAAAAATTCCTTTTCACTCTGCAGTCCCAATTTCCAAGAGCCTACCATGATTTCTTGGGAAAAGCCAAGAGCTCCATCTTTGGGAGCCTCTGAGACATCTGGGTGGAAGAGAGGGAGTGTGCATCATGGAAAGGATGATGGCTGGAGAAATGGAATGGCAAGGCTTTGTCTGGAAGCAGAAACCCTCCTTGCTCTCCACGGATGGGCTGTGTCTCCGTGTCTGGAACTGCTCCACAGCTCCAGCACGAGGTCACTTGGATGAAAAAAAAAACCCCAAGGTCTGAAGGCAAAAAAAGCCTCGAGTCCTGCTAGATCTGAAGCCCAAAGAGAAGAAACACAGGGCAGATGACAGATGGAGGAGTGCACGGCTCCAGCCCTGGAATTTCCTCTGAATTCAGGGTGAACTCAGCCCTGCACTGACCCTGAGTTACCTCGGTGCTCCTGGGACCTGCTGGGCTCAGGCACAGGCACCTTTGGAGCTGTCTGTGAGCCCAGCTGGCCACAGCAGCTCTGGGGACACAGACAGGAGGGACAGAGGCTGGAGAAGTGCCAGGGCCACACGGCCAGGCAGTGCTGGAGTGGCTGGGATCCACCTGGGATCCTCCTGGGATCCACCTGGGATTCACCTGGGATCCACCTGAGCTCTCCCTGGAGAGCACCACTGGTTGCTCCAGCCTCAGGCTGGGCTCAGCCTCTTGTTCCAGGTAACAAGGATGAGAGGAAACGGCCTCAGGTTGTGCCTGGGGAGGTTTAGGTTGGATGGTGGGAAGAATTCCTTCACTGCAAGCCTGGAAAGGCCTGGCCCAGGCTGCCCAGGGCAGTGGTGGGGTCCTCATTCCTAAAAAACCTGTGGCAGTGGCACTCAGGGCTGTGGTTTCACGGGGAACGTGGTGGTGGATGAGGATCCTGCAGAGCTTTTCCAAAATTAATGATCCTGAGGCTCTGATTCACTTCCATCCACGTTTTGTGCTGCCCCTCCCTGTCAGCTGAACCGAGGGTTTGGTGAGGTCCTTAGGAAGTTTTCAGATTTGTCATTCCCCTGGGATTATCTGCCCTGGCTTTTCAGACAGCTGAAATGACATTTTAAAAGCAGGATAATCCAGCTGGCACCGTGCTGAGGAGCAACAGCAGCAAATCAGAATAACAACAATAATAACCCCAATCTGTTAAGTGTCAGTAGACACATTTGGTAGCAAATAAATCTCTGGAGCATTAAAAAAAAAAAGCAATCTATCCACTCTCAGCTGTCTACCTACTTACAGACATGACTCTGGGAAGACTGAAAAATAGAGGGAAGAAGAACTCCATCATAAAAGGCAGAATATTCTAAGTAGGGGCAGTGCAGTGTGGAGAAGACCAGCAAGATGACTGGTCCTAAAATGTGAATTTCCTGGCTCTTCACCAGGTTCAAGCACCCTTGCTCCTGAAGTTCAATTCCTTGCCCTTCCCCTCCACCCATGATTTTTTTTTTTTTAAAGCAGTTTGTCACAGCCATGTTTATCTGCTTCCCAAGGGGTGCTTCACCCAGCCCAGGGAGGGGTGGAAATTCAACATCTGCTTTATCCACGGTGCTCTGGGAGCGTGGGCATGAGGGAAAATTCAGGGGGACCATCAGGAGACATTTCAGTGGGTGAGCTCTGGGAAGTATCCCCCCAAGCAGTGCTGGGAGCCCCTGTGTTGTTTTACAATGCAGGATGGATCCCAGCCAGTGCTGCCCTGGCTGAGGGTCCCAGGCTGTTCCCACCTTCCCTGCACATCCATCTTCTGTGCTCACACCTCCAGGACACGGCTCCCTGCCAAGACTGAGCATGGATTTTGCCAGGTTTGCTCATTCCTCACTGCCCAGGGAGAGCAGCAGCATTCCTGCTCCTCAGGAATGATCCTGCTGGGTTTGCTGAGCGCTGCTGGCTGCCCACGAGGGAAGGGTTGGAGTTATCCTGTCTCCATCCTCTTGCTGGGTGCAGCTCAGTAAAGGGTGTGGTGGCAATTAATAATTAGGTAAATTCTTCTCCAGGCTGCTAAATGCTATCCAGCTGTGGAACACTGCAAGGTTTTGGGAGTATTTGAATTTTGCAGCATTTTGGGCTGGAACTGACCCTGTCCTGTACACAATTGGAATGGTAGATAAGAGAGAGGCTTCTAAAGGAATTAAGAATATCACCCATGAGATGCTGCTAACACTTGTAGGCACCATTGTAACAGAATTCTTGTTGTTATGAAGCAAAAGCTGTTCCAGAGTCAGAACTGAACCTCAGCCCTACATACACTGAATCCTCTCTCCAGGCCTCTCTTGAGCTTTGGAGAATTTCCATCCTGGACACAGATCTGCAACAAACCCCATTCCTCTTTTCAGAGCTGATTTCCAGCATGAAGAACAAACCCTGAAAATTCACTGAGAGTCAGCAGAGGGGGAAGGGGAGAAACTCAGCAGAACCTTCTGTGGGAAGGGACCCAGCTCTCCAGGAATGAGCTCAGGGGGCTGCACCCTGCCTGAGCAGCTCTTTGGGGCTCTTTGTCCCAAAATCAGCATTTCTGCCAGCTCAGCTGCAAAAAACCCCACTGTGCTGTGTCCTGGCTGGATGAGCTCATTTCCAGGAGCCAGCAGAACCTCCCAGGTGGGCCTGGGGTGTTTTCCAAGGGCACTGATGCAAAATGACAGCTCATTTTGGGGACATGGGGCAGCCCTGTGGGTTTGGGGTGGGCTGAATTCCCCACTGGAGCTCAGATTGGGGTGTGGATTGGGGTGTGCTGCATTCCCCACTGGGAACTGGGATTTCCCTGTGGGTTTGGGGTGTGCTGCACTCCCCTCAGAACTGGGGCTGCCCCATGGGATTTCCCTGTGGGTTTGGGGTGTGCTGCACTCCCCACTGGAGTTGGGATTGTCCTGTGGGATTTCCCTGTGGGTTTGGGGTGTGCTGCACTCCCCTCAGAGCTGGGGCTGCCCCGTGGGATTTCCCTGTGGGTTTGGGGTGTGCTGCACTCCCCTCAGAGCTGGGGCTGCTCCCTCCAGCCTGTCCCCTCAGGGACACACGTTGAAGCCATTACAACAAATGGCTTGTTGGGAGGCTCTGGTTATGAGATGATAACCTTCCAGGGGGAAAAGAGAGAAGGTGCTGGACCCAGTCTTCAAGGAGGCTCACGTCTGGGATCCTCAGAAACCACCTGAGCTGCCATCCTGGCCCTGGCTTTGAAGCTCTGCAGGGTCAGGGCTGAGGAGAGCCCAGACACGAGGCTTGCCCTGGCTCCTTGGAGAACCTGGAGCAGCCAGAGGCAGTGCAGGGAGCTCTGCAGGCTGGGACATCTCCCATCTGCTCTGACCCCACGGCTGCTGCTGGGCAGGGAGGAAGCAGGACAGCCAAACCTGTGTTTTCCTTCAGGAAAACCCTTCCTCATTCCCCAGAACACGACTCCCAAAGCTGAGCAAGCAGAGGGGCAACTCCCAGAGCCCCAGGTGGGCACAGCCACTGCAGCAGCCTTGGGATCTCAGCTCTGTGGGCAGATCTCACCCTGGAAGTGAGCACAAATCACAGCAAAAGGAGCTGCTGCTGCCACCCGGGCTCACCTTGATGGGGGAGTACCACCTGCGAGGGGACGAGGGCCGGCGCATGCTGCTGCCCAGGTTCCTGGGCTCAGGGAACTCGTACTCCTGCTCTGGCATCTTCACCCTGGCGTTCTTGGCCTTCTCCAGCTTGGCACCTTCCTCCGTGGAGCCCTTTTCCCCCCAGCGCACCTGGACGGAGGGAGCAGGGGCAGGGTCAGGATCAGGATCAGGATCGGGGTCGGGGTCAGGGTCAGGATCAGGATCAGGGTCAGAATCAGGGTCAGAATCAGGGTCAGAATCAGGGTCAGAATCAGGATCAGGATCGGATTCAGGGTCAGGATCAGGGTCAGTGTCAGGGTCAGGATCAGGATCGGGGTCAGGGACGGGGTCAGGATCAGGATCTAGATCAGGGGCAGGATCAGGGTCAGGGACAGGGGCAGGGTCAGGGTCAGGGTCAGGATCAGGATCAGGGTCAGGATCTGGATCAGGATCAGGGACAGGGTAAGGGTCAGGATCAGGATCAGAATCAGGGTCAGGATCTGGATCAGAGTCAGGGTCAGGATCTTGATCAGGATCAGGATCAGGATCTGGATCAGGGTCAGGATCTGGATCAGGGTCAGGATCCGGATCAGGATCTGGATCAGGGTCAGGATCTGGATCAGGGTCAGGGTCAGGGTCAGGATCAGGGTCAGGGTCAGGATCAGGGTCAGGGTCAGGGTCAGGATCTGGATCAGGGACAGGGTAAGGGTCAGGATCAGGATCAGGGTCAGGATCTTGATGAGGATCAGGGTCAGGATCTGGATCAGGGTCAGGGTCTTGTTCAGGATCAGGACAGGGTCAGGCTGTGCCACCCCTGCTGCAGGAACAGCCCTGCCTCTGGGTGTCCCCAGCTGAACAGCAATGCCCAGGCTGGGAGGTTTGTTTCTAGACTGCAGCCCAAATTCTGAGCTTGTCCTTTGTGGTGGTTTAAGAGAAATGTGGGAGTGGGGAACTTTTCAGGAGAACTAAAGCCATCTCCTGGTAAATTGTGTGGCAGTGCTGCCCTGTGTCCCAGGCACGGACCAGGACGTTGCTAAACTCCAGAAATCTGTGTTTGCCTCTCAACTATTCCCACACAAAAATGACCTGCACTCCTAAAAACCTCAAGAAGTTTGTGCCTGTCTCCTGAGTGCCCTGCTGGGGGGCTGTGCCCAGACCTGAGCCCTGATTTCCTCACCTCCATCCGTTTGATGCCGCCCACTCCTCGCCCTCCGTAGTAAGAGGCATCCACTGTTGGCCACTTCTTCTTTGGCAGCCCATCATCATCTTCCTCCTGCAAAACAGCAGCAGGGGTGGCACTGCCAGGGGGAACGGGCAGGGATGGAAGGGATGGGAAGGGTTGAGCAGGGATGGGAAGGAATGAACAGGGATGGAAGGGATGGGAAGGATGGGAAGGGATGGAAAGGAATGAGCAGGGATGGGAAGGGATGGGAAGGAATAAGAAGGGATGGAAGTGAATGAACAGGCTTTGAAAGGAATGAGATTTTGGGATGGGAAGAAATGAGCAGGGATGGAAGGGATGGGAAGGGAATGAACAGGGATGGAAGGGATGAGCAGGGATGGGCAGGGATTAACAGGCTTTGACAGGAATGAGATTTTGGGATGGGAAGGGAATGAGCAGGGATAGGAAGGGATGGGAAGGAATGGAAGGGAATGAACAGGGATGGAAGTGAATGAACAGGATTTGAAAGGAATGAGGTTTTGGGATGGGAAGAAATGAACAGGGATGGAAGGGATGGGAAGGGTTGAGCAGGGATGGGAAGGAATGAACAGGGATGGGAAGGAATGAGCAGGGATGGAAGTGAGTGAACAGGATTTGAAAGAAATGAGGTTTTGGGATGGGAAGAAAACAGGGATGGAAGGGATGGGAAGGGTTGAGCAGGGATGGGAAGGAATGAACAGGGATGGGAAGGAATGAGCAGGGATGGAAGTGAATGAACAGGATTTGAAAGGAATGAGATTTTGGGATGGGAAGGAATGAGCAGGGTTTGAAAGGAATGAACAGGGATGGGAAGGGATGGGAAGGAATGAACAGGGATGGAAGGAATGAACAGGCTTTGAAAGGAATGATATTTTGGGATGGGAAGGAAATGAACAATCCCAGGCTGCCTTGTCCTTGCAGGGCAGGCCCAGTTCTGGTCTGTCCCTTGTTCTTTTCCAGAGGATGAACACTTGTGAAAGGACAATGTTTCATAATATAAACACCACACCTGGAAGGGACAGGCCAGCTCCAGCAGGAATGAGATTTTGGGATTTTTCACCTCTGCCACCCCTTGGTGACATTCAGATATTGGTGACTTAACAGATCAAGAAAATTCCCTTCAGTTTATTTAAAATGAGCCTGCTAAAGCTCCAGTGAAATTCAAGGTGTTTTAAGTTCTCTGTTGCACTCTGTAAGGTCAGAGTGTACACTTACAGTGACTTTCCCTTTAATTTCTACAGTTCAGGCTGTGAACTGGCAAAGCAGAAAAGCAGAGTTCATCAAAAACGTGAAGTATTTCCTGTGAAAAACGTGGAGAGAGAAGAAAAACGGTCCCTCTCTCTTTTTTCTTCTTCTTTCTTTAATTTTTCACAGGGATTTGGCCAAACTCCAAAACTTAGGAGCTTTCCAAAACTGGAAAAGCCAAAAATACTTTGAAATTGAAACTCCCCATCAGGAAAACTGAAAAACTGGGTGGGGAAAAAAAAAAAATCCAAGAAAAACTCCGGTTTTCACGGCAACCAAAAGCAATTTCAGTTTATCAAAACACAGAAACTGGGCTGCAAAATGTGTCCTGACCCAAGGGAAGGGTGAACAACTGGTCACAAGTACCAGGTTCTTCTCTTTAGAGCTGACCTCTCTCTCTGGCCCCAGGCAGAGCTGCTGAGGCTCTTTGCTGCAACCCAAGAACTCAATATCTCTGCATGAAGTTTGCCATGAGGACTTTTCTTGTTAAAAAAAAAAAAAAGAAAAAAGAGAAAAAAAAAAAAGAAAAAAAAAGTGGAAGCAAAGCCATCTAAATATTTTCCTTCAGCAATTCTCTTTCTCTCCCTTCAGCTCAACACAGACTGGACTTCTCACAACAGGAAATACCAAGGTTTAGGAAATTTTTCCCCAAAAGCCTTAAAAGCCCTGGGAGCCCAGGACAGCAGCACACGCACAGAGAGGCAGCAGCACACTTGACAAACAAAGGAGTCACAAGTTTGCTGCAGAAGGAGCCTGTTTACATCTCTGGAAGGGCAGGGCAGGTTTTGCAATACAAGAAAAAGCCCCCAGCAGCCTCATCCTGCACCCTTGGCTGCGTGGCTGAGGGAGGGAGGGCAGGGAAATGGGAGGGAAAAACCCCCCAAATCCCTCACCCAGCACCCCAACTTGGGAGCCAGGCATGGATTCTCATTCCCTGCCAGCCTCAGGTGGATTTTCCTCCTGGGGTTGGTACCTGAGGAGCTCCAGCTCTGACCCAGCTGCAGCACCAAAAGCAGCCCCAGAAAATCCAAGTGCATTTAAGGATGCTGGAAATTGACTGTACTGAACTTGGCAGCTTTCCACCCCCAAAATCTGCTTTAGATGGAGCTAGAGTTTCTTTTAACGAGGAAGAAGAAGCAGGACAGAGCTGCATTTCACAGTCAGGGATCCAGATCCAGAAGTGCTGGATTGCAGAAAACAAAGATCTGTGTTTATCTCAGAGGCCAGGCTGGGCTCTGGATAGTGTGACCCTGACCTGAGGGAACCTCATCTGTGGGTAACACAAGGATAATTCAGACTCCACAAGGGACATCTGAACCACTCAGGGTAAGAATTCAAACGAAATTTGGCCAGATATTAAAAAAAAAAAGAAATTGGACAACTTACCCCTCTCCCCACCCTTATAATTATTTTCCCAGTTGTCTCTGCAGTGCCTGAATTTTGTCAGAATTCAGCATTTATGGAGAGCTCTGCCTGCACCAAGGGCTGAGCCACGGCACGACAATCATTTCTCTGTGTCAGAGATGTTCTCATTGAATTTTAGCGTTGAGAGAACACAGAACAAACCCAGCTGTCCTCAAGGCTCCTTTCTGCCCCTTCTCCCACCACTGGAGCCATTCCCAAATCCCATGGGCACCTCTCAGCTGCCTTGTGCCACTTTGGGAACACTTTGCTGCTCCCCTCCTGCTGGGGAAGGTTTTGCTTGGTGCCTCTAAAGGCTCCCCAGAATTTTCTCCTCTCCAGCCTGAACAACTTCAGCCTCATACAAGCTCATCCTCGAGGCACAAATGTTTCTCAGACCAGCCTTTGGTGGCCTGGATCACCACAGAAATTCCACATTTGTCCTGGCCCAGATCCTTGGAGGTGCTGCCTGAGGTGAAGGCTCCAAGAGCTGCTTGTGGTGAAAGGAGGATTTGAGCTGCTTCCACTCCAGAGCTCTGACACTGAGCTGCAGGAAGGTGAAATTCCCATCAGCTCAGGGCAATCAGCACCAGGATGGGATTAAACCAACCCCCACAGCCCCTGCGCTGCTCTGCATGTTTCACATGAAACTGGCCATGAGGCTGAAATTTGGCCATGGAAACTGAAATTTGGCCATGAGGCTGAAATTTGGCCATGAAACTGAAATTTGGCCATGAGGCTGAAATTAGGCCATGAAGCTGAAATTTGGCCATGAAGCTGAAATTTGGCAATGAAACTGAAATTTGGCCATGTAGCTGAAGTTTGGCAATGAAGCTGAAATTTGTCCATGAAGCTGAAATTTGGCCATGAAGCTGAAGTTTGGCCATGAATCTCCACCCCCCATGGTGTAATACCTGCATCTCTCCTGTTGCCAATAACAGCCCCCCCTTTTTTCTTTGCCTGTCTCTTGGAAGGTTCCTTTTCTCCTCCCATGTTTCCACAGCTCACTGTAAAGAGGGGGTACAGGGAAGGAGAAGCACTGGCACACCTCTAGGACCTGGCTTCCTTGCAGGAATAAATGGATTTCTACAGAAATTCCCATCAGATCCTTTCCCTGGAGCTGGTGCTGCCGTCTCCCCAGCACGGCTCTGCAAAAGGAGCCAGGAAAACAATTTGGACAAGAATAATGAACAGCAGTAATTGAACAGGGGGAAGGTGGTGGAACAGAAGGATCTCCAAGGACCCTCCCATGATAATAAGTGAGGGTTCCAGCAGCTCTCCAAGCAGCTGGGTGTCCTTTAGCATTCTCTGTCCTCTGGATGCTGTGGGAGAGATCAGAGCCCAGCAGCCAGAGAGGATCCAGCTGAGCAGGGAGTGCAGCCCTGAAGTCCCCCAGGACAGCTAAAACCCCTCAGGGTGTGTGCCAGAGCTGCCCCAGCACCTCCTGTGAGTGTTTCTGTGCTGTGTGTGGCTAAGAGGAGATCAGACATGGGAATTATCCCATTACAGCCTGGTTGGTGGCTTGGCTCTGGTGCCAGGCCAGGGGTGGCCGTGGATGCTGGGTGACAGCAGCAGGGAAAAAAGGGACTGAGGGCTGAGCAAAGGGCAGGCTGTGGGCACCTCAGTGATCTCCTGCCTGGCTTTGCCAGGCTCCAGGGGCTCTGTGTGCTTGATTGCTGCTGTAGGAGCACGTGGTGCCTGCACAGATCCAGCTGTGGGTTCCCTGACTGCAGCCACTCTGTCCAGGACTGGCAGCAGCAGAACCTTGGCCTGGCCAGGGAGTGAAGAGGGAACTGTAGGAAGCTGCAGAGCCTTGCAGCTGGGGGTTTTTGCTGTGTTTTGAGGATGGGTAGCTAGAGCAGAACCAGCTTCAGCCTTGTGGTGAGCCTCTGCTCTGAGCTGGGCAGAGCTGTGCAATAAGCCCAGCCTAAAGGTGGTGGGGCACAGCAAGAAAAGCAGCTGTGCCCTCCTCCAGCAGGGCTAGAAACAGCCCTGCTACTCACTGCAGGTAGAAAAACGTGGTTTTGATCCACCTTCAGTGACTAATCCAGGCCAGAAAGGTGCTCCTGCCTCCTCCAGGCACTCACCTCTTCCTCTTGGCATTAACTCAGACCTTGCTGGCCTAAGTGAAAGCAGCTGTCCTGCCCTGGCCCTCACCCTCAGCATCCTCAGCATCCCCAGCTCCCCGAGCAGCACAGCGGGAGCTGACAACATTTGCAACTTCTGAATGAATTAATTGGGAGTTTCTGGCCAGGGCTGATTTCCTTCCCCAGCACTGAAGTGTCTCACAGGGCCTCTGAAGCAGAGTTCAGTGAAACCTTTGACAGCAGAGGCTGCTTCCCCTCCTTGTTAGAGTGTAATGCATTCTCCTTCCTCCTGTGGCCTTCAGCTCCCAAACCTGCTGATGCAAGAATTCCTTTTTTTTTTTTTTCCTTTCCCTTTTATGGCCAAGGATTTTGTGAGAAGGAAAGAATCCAACTGTAACCCTGCTGCTGAAGGGACCAGCAATCCCTCCTGCTGGAGAGAAGCAGCTGCTGGAGTCCTGCAGGGTAGGGGGATAGCTGCAACACCTAAAAAAATGGATTACAGAAAATCAACTCCATCTTCTATTCATTTAGAGCAAAATAGAAAATCTCAAGGCTTCAATCTTCTGAGAATGCAGCACACCATGTCAGTCCCACTCTGTGGAGCAGCCTCTCCAGCAGTAAATGCACCACAAAATGCATTTTTCAGAGCTGCTGCTAGTTTGTCACTAGTGGGAAGCTCTTCTGTCTGGGGAAAAAACCAGTGCAAGTCACAGCTGCAAAAAATCAGCTGATTTCTGAGCACTGCCCTGATGCTGCACAGCTTCTAAAATAACACAAATGACATTTTCCTTTCTTAAAAAGCCTTTGGCTGCTGAATGGCTCTGGGCTATCTGAGCTGGGGGAGTGCTGTGGTGGGAAGCACAGGTGGAATGGTGCCACTGGAGCAGCTGGCACATGGTGCAGGTGGATGTGCCACCCCTGGCAGTGTCCCAGGCCAGGCTGGACAGGGCTTGGAGCAGCCTGGGAGGTGTCCCTGCCCTGCCAGGGGGTGGAATGGGATGAGCTGTGAGCTCCCTTCCAAGCCAAAGCAATAGCAAAATGATCTTGTCTGAACTGCACACACAGTTTCTGTGCTATCACTCCATTTTTGAAGCCTTTTCCAAGGTCTCAGGTCAAACAAGGTGTTTACTTGAGGGTGGGCACCCTTAAATTCAGAAAGATCCAAGTTTTCAGCCAATAGATTTCCAACAATCCATGAGTGCTGTAACCAAACCCTGCCATGCCCAGGCCCCCAAAGAGGAGAACAACACCCAAAAAAAATGTCCAGATCCCCTCCTGGATGGGTGAGGCAGCAGGGAAAGCACATCCTGCTGAATGCCAATTTTCAGTCACTCTGCAGGGCCCTCTCAGGGTACCACCAAAGCCTGGACAAGTTGAATTTCAGGCTGCAGCTGTGATTTTTGCAGAGACTGCTCTGCTTTTGCAGCACTTACTGGGCTGACAAAAGACTTCCTTATAGGTGACACACTCTTCCCTCTTAGGGGATGCAATTTCCCCCTCCAGCTCTTGGCCAGGGAGCCAGCATTCCAGAGTGATGTCTTTTAATTAATTTCAGCAATTTGAATCCCTTGGCCTGGAGGCATGTGTGATGCAGAACAAAGCATGTGCAATTTGAGGTTCATATTTTCCTTTTCATTCAGAGGACAAGAAGCTGACAAAGCTGGTGGGTTTTCACCCAGCCCAAACAAAAGTCTGCTCAGGGAGATGGAGCTGCAGAGAGAGGGTCCCAATGTGAGCCCCCCTGGCTCTGGGAATGGTCTCATTTGGATTTTGCTTCAGGCCTGTCTGAAGTGCCCCAAGGTGGAGGTTCCAGGAGAAGCAAGGCTGCAGTCTGCTCCTTGCAGAGCCCTGAGCTTTCCTGACCTTGGCTCAGCCCCTCTCCCTGGGCCAGGCTTAGAGCAGACAGCCCCATTTCACCAACTTTTCCACCTGCAAGCTGAAGCAGGCCCTGGATTTGTCTCCAGAAGCAGAAAACAGGGCAAGCTACCCAAGCAGATCACCCAGACACAGAGCTAAGGCTCGTTCTGCTGCCTGCTTAAGGGAACTGATCCAAAGGCCAGTGAAGAAAATGGAAAAAGTTCCCTTTGGCATCAGAGTGCCCTGCACAGAGCCCAGGGATGCAGGGAAATCCCACAGGGAAAACCCTGGGACTCACTGTGTGCTCAGACAGGAGCACACACACAGAGGAGAAGGAAAAGCGGGCTCAGAATGGTGGCACAGCTTTAACCCTTCATGGCAAGGCTCATCTAAAACCTGTAAGCAGAGTTAAGATGGAAGCTTTAGTGTTGATTTAGCATTTTTTTGGATTACTCTCCATTAAGACCTCCCTGGCTTGTGCAGCTCTGCCAGTGCCCAGAGGATTTTGCTGGGGGTTTAAATCTCTCTGAATGTGCCTCACACAGCCCAGGAGCTTCCTTTTCCCACAGCTCCAAGGGCTCAGCACTCCTGCCAGGGCTGGTTATGGATCCCAAACCACCAAAATCATTACCCTTCCAGGAAGGCAGCTCAGCACAAGTTTAGGCTCCACTAACTCAGAGTTAAACACAGGCTGAAGGGCTGTCCCTGTGTGAATCACAGCCTGGCTGCTCTGGCCAAGTGAGGAGGGGTTGTCTGAGCTGTCCTTTCCTACCTGTGAACCCACAGATTTAATCAGCTTTCCTGGGGTGGTTTAATCAGCTTTCCTGGGGTGGTTTAATCACTTTTTCTGAGGAGACTGAACAGAACATTGTCCTCAACACGGAGCAGGGGTCAGGGTCACTCACCTCGCTGTCTTCTGCAGGAGGTGGGGGAGGCTCCTTGATGATCTAGAAGGATTAAAGAGAAAGAGAACCATAAATTGATGCTTTGTTCTTCAGCACCACTCAGATCCACAGGAGAAAACAAGAGGATGTGCTGCTGGGACACCTCTGTTAGAACCCAGTGTGCTCAGGGGGTGGCTCTGGGTGCCTCTGTCACTCAGGGTGTCACCATCACATTTTCTGGAAAAATCCCTTCGCCAGGATTTCTCTCCTGGGAAGCTGAGAAGCCTCAGAGAAAAAGGAAAACAATAATTATCTCATTTGCCTCTCCTGTGTTTTGCTGCTTTGGAATGTGGTAGGTGATTGTTTCTTTGGTTTCATGTGAATTGTTTTTACTTATTGGCCAATTACAGCCAAGTTGTGTCGAGGCTGTGGAAAGAGTTTTCATTAGTATCTTCTAGCTTTCTGTCTGTATCCTTTCTGTATCCTTTAGTCTAGTTTAGTATAGTTTTAGTACAGCATTCCACAATATAATATAATATAATATAATATAATATAATATAATATAATATAATTAATATAATATAATATTAGCCTTCTAAGAACATGAAGTCAGATTTATAATTTCCTCAACAAGAAAATACAAGACAGGGGGAGCAAAAGCCCTGCCACAAAGCCATTCCCAATGACAGCCCCACACTCACACTGCTCACAGGGTGACTCTGCCCTGTGTGAGGCCAAAGAAAATCCCAAATCTGATATCCCTGAGTCTCCTAACTCCAGCAGCTGCTGGCTCACATTGATGCTTCACCTGAGCAGCCACAGAAAATCAGCAGCTCCTTCTGCTGCATTCTGTACTCGTGTGCAGATCCTGCCTCAGGTCATTTCCAGTCTGAACCAAGCAAAAGAAAAGAAGCAAGATGCCCTGGGGAAGGTGCCAAGCAGTGATAACCCCCAGCCTGTCCCCTAGACCATTCCTCCCCTCTCATTCCAGGGGGCTCTGCCACCTCATAAAGCTCTTCCCATCATCAGGTTAATACAGCTCACTGCCATAAACTAAAAAATACAAATATATAAATATAAAAATAAAAATATAAAAATAGAAAAAATAAAAATAAATATAAATATAATATATACACAGATATATGGCTCACTGAGGTTTCTACTGAAGCAAGCAGGGTGAGGCTGCAGCCTGCTCCAGGATATTCTCCATAGAAACCATTTCAGTTGCTGTGGGTGTGAGGCCATTATTTCATGCAGAAACTTTGCATCCAGGGCTTGGCAGGCAGCTGGCTGCCAGCAGAGCATCCAAGAGCAACAGAGAGGTTTCCAAGGGGAGGGCAGTGACACCAGGCACGTCCTGGTGCCCCTCACCCTGGCCTGCCATGGCAGTGCCACCCCCAGGCACCAGGGGAGGTGACACTGAGTGTCCTGAGCTGGCTGTCAGGGCAGAGCTGCCCTGCCTTGGGGGACACATGTGTGGGCTTCAAAATCACCCTAAAATAAAAATAGAAACAAAAAATAAAAATATAAAACATAAAAATAAAAATAACATATAAAATATAAAAAATAAAAATATGAAATATAAATATGAAATATAAATATAAAATATCACAATGAAATTAAAATATTAAATATAAAAAATAAAAATAACATATAAAATATAAAAAATAAAAATATGAAATATAAATATGAAATATAAATATAAAATATCACAATGAAATTAAAATATTAAATATAAAAAATAAAAATAACATATAAAATATAAAAAATAAAAATATGAAATATAAATATGAAATATAAATATAAAATATCACAATGAAATTAAAATATTAAATATAAAAAATAAAAATAACATATAAAATATAAAAGTAAAAACATGAAATATAAATAGAAAATATAAAAATAAAATATTAAAATGAAAAAAATATTAAATATAAAAACAAAAATAACATATAAAATATAAAAATATAAAATATAAATATAAAATATAAAACTATTAAAATGAAAATAAAAATAAAAATACAGTCCCAGCCAGGAACAGCTTGGCCATTTAAATGCAGAAAGGGAAAATCTCAATCACATTAAAGGCCCTGAAGATATAAATATTTACAGCAATTCCTCTCACTCGTGTTTTTCTTCCTGTGATGAGCTCACTGTTTTTATTTTGCTCTGCAGAGCCCGAGTCATGCAATGCTCCATTAATGAGGAGCATGTGCCTCAGGCTGGGGAGGAGACAGGGCTGGAGCAGCCCAGGGTGCTGGGCTGTGCCACCACCTGCTCCTGGCCACAGTGACACTGTGACAATGAGCAGAAACCATCAAAACCGTGAAAATGAGCAAAAATGATAAAAACTGTGACAATGACCAAAAATGGGGGAAACTGGGACAATGAGCAAAAATGGTGAGAATGATAAAAAAATGGTGAAAGCTGTGAAAAATGACCAAAACCAATGAAAGCTGTGAAAATGACCAAAAGTGATAAAGCTATGAAAATGGCCAAAAATGATAAAGCTGTGAAAATGACCAAAAATGATAAAGCTATGAAAATGGCCAAAAATTACCAAAAATTACGAGAACTATGACAATGACCAGAACCACTGAAAACTGTGACAATGACCAAAACCAATGAAAGCTGTGAAAATGACCAAAAATGATAAAGCTATGAAAATAACCAAAAATTACGAAATCTCTGAAAATGACCAAAAATTACGAGAACTATGACAATGACCAGAACCACTGAAAACTGTGACAATGACCAGAACCACTGAAAACTGTGACAATGACCAAAACCAATAAAAACTGTGACAATGACCAAAACCACTGAAAACTGTGAAAATGACCCAAAGTGATAAAAAATTGTGACAGTGACCAGAAACTATGAAAACTCTGACCAAAAATGATGAAACACAGATGAGGATGTGTGCCCAGGGAGGTTTGCAGTCCCCATCCCTGGAGGTGGCACTCAGTGCCCTGTGGGGATGAGCCCCAGGCTGAGCTTGGTGACCTCAGAGGTCTTTCACAAGCTGAAGAACTCTGGGATTCTGTGCAAAGTGGACGAAAAGCTGTCTGCAGGAAAGGAAATGCTGGATATCAGCATCATCAGAGGTGTAAAATGGAGACACCATCTCCTCTGTGTCCCTAGACACAGCAAATACTAAATAAGACAGAGCGTTCAACGCACCAAAAGATCCAGGAGACATTTTTGGATTAATTTTGGTCAGTTTGAAGGGTGGCATTTGCCAACAGACCTCCTTTGGATCCAAATCCCTGAGCACAAACCCATCAGACACTGAGAAAATTCCGATATCTGATCCAAAATGTACCTGCTGGACCTCCTGGCTCCCTCCTGCAGCATCCCCTGGGCTCCAGTGGAGTTCCTCTCATTGACATTGGAATGAATCAGAATAAGCCATCCAATTTTGGTCCAGCTAAGCATCCAAGCACAACTTCTCAGCCAGTATCAGTGCAGATTACACACTTGGAAGTGAGGAGATGGCTGTTTTCCATACATTTGCATTCCTTCCCATAGGCACACACGTACACACAAACTGGGTGACTTCTGTAAACAGATCAAGTGTTTTCTATCACAGGCCAAGAGGGGGAAAAAAGGACATTCCTCCCATTTTTGAGTGCTTTGCACTTCAAGAGCAAATGAACTGCCCGTAAGTTGGCAGCAGGGATTGGTTAATTTGGACAAGTCTGGAGATGGGGGAGTTCAGTCTCATGTGCCTTTGAGCCTGAACGACCTTCCAAAGTTCAAGTCTTACAAAAAAAAATAAAATTAAAAAAAAAAATCTCATTTCTGACTCGCTGCCCAGGCCTTCAAACAGCACAAAGCTTTTCCTTCTCTCCTTTGGATTCTTACAGCTACAGCTCTGTGTGCATGAAATCCTTACTCTGGGGCACTGAGACCCTCGTTTTGGGGCTCTGAGACCCTTCCTCTGGGGCTCTGAGTCCCTTGTTTTGGGACACTGAAACCTTCATTTTGGGGCATTGAGACCCTCATTCTGGGGCACTGAGATGCTCATTTTGGGACACTGAGACCCTTGTTCTGGGGCACTGAGACCCTCATTCCGGGACACGGAAGGCAGTAAAGCCAATGGCACCCTGGTGCCATCCCACAGCACTGGGCCCAGGAGGCCCACAGGCCCCAGGCACGCTCAGCACAACAAAAACCAACCCAAAAGACTGAAAAAGGCCATCACGGGGACCCTGTGAGGACACAGCCCACATGGCCACCTCGTCCTGGGCCCAGACGAGCCCCGGGGGCTGCTGGAGGAGCAGCTGGGAGCGCGCCAGGCCCAGCGCGGCCTGGTTTGCCTTGGCTTGGCAAGGCCGCGCTGTTTGTCCATCAGTCCTTGGGTGAGCCCAAGCCAGCCCTGGCACTGCTGGGTCTCCTGTGTTTGGGAGGAGAACACAACACTTTGATGCCTTCAGTTTTAGCTTTTGTACTTCTCGCATTCTCCGCTGTAACTCTGAAACTTCACGTTAGGTGTTAGTAGGTTCTCTTCACAAAACAATCCCCTCACAGCTGGACAATCAAAGACAACCTTACCCAAAAAGCACAAACAACAGCAAAGAGAAAGGGGTAAGCCAGGGGGCTGAGACTTCATCACCTGGAGCTGTAATTGGACAACTGAACCCAAGATGTAGATGAACCAAAATTTATAAAAGTGTAAAAACTCATGACCAGGATCCATCTTGGGTTCAGCCTGGGTGTAGCCCTGGCCAGGCCCTTGTGCTGCCCAAGGTGTGTCCTTTCAAGGTCTTGCAAGAAATACTTATTTTGTCCATTTAGCTCTGTCAATTCTGTTCCAGGTTCAGCCCTGGGTCTGCTCTTTAGGTGAGGAACACCTGAGGACAAAGGTGAAGGACAGGTCCCTGTTAGCTGAACTCCAGATCCATGGAGAAGCAGCTGTTTCTGATGGATTACCCAGTGGCAAAGCTCAGGAATGCCATTAGCCACCTCCAGGAAGGTTAAAAACATTGGGAAGGATGAATTTTCTGTTGCCCTGAAATTTCTGTAGCCATTCAGTCACAAGAAAGCAGAGGCTGAGTCCAAAT